ATTTGAAAATGTCTGTCACAGTTTGGAGCATCTTGCTGGATTACATCACAGTGGCATGCAACACACAGGAAATCTGAAAAATATGCTGCACTAAAGTGCCCTTAAGGAAACTGTGGTATTCAAAATAGAATATGTTTTAAATCTTACTTAGTTGTTTGTACAACTGGCCTACGCTACATAAGCCACATTAAAACTTGGAGGTTATGTATAGTAACCAGGCATCTTACTATCGTAGGAGAAGTTCACTAACGTTTTCAAACACTCAGAACTGATGTTGAGGGGAGTTAAATAAATTGATGTTTTAACCTGAGACAAATTAGTTTCCAACTGTACTTCTGCCTGACTGATAATGGAACTGGAATAGAAGAGAATGAAACATTCATCATTTAAACTCAACTCATTTTAGTGAGATTTTATTGACACCAGAACTTCTCTAAGATTTGCCAAGGAATGTTAATCATTGTGCTATCAATCAAGAGGGAAGGAATAACTCAATAAAAAGTGCCATTTATTGGAGTGTAGATAAATATACATATAGATAAAAACCAGTGATGTACTTTGTTTATTCATCAGGGACTGCACCCTTTCTGAGATTCTACTCATTTTTGCCAAGCGGTTGATTTACTTGTTTCAAGTTACAATTTCATTGCATATCTTTCTTTACAAGATATTGAGAAGACAGTGTGAATCCCACTTAATTTTAGACTTCCGTGATGTATATAGCTACACTGAGTCTGTCACCCTCCATCTGTTTAGCCTCAGGGAGGAGAAATAAGCGCCTTTAGGACATGAAACTTTTCATCCATTTTAAATATCTGTGTGTCAATGAAATAAATTATGCCCTAGGAAGGCATATTTCTCTCCTCTGATTAATATTAAGAGAGTATATATGTTTGATCATATATCTCATACCACAAGCCTTCCTTCCACATGCATCACCTCTCCTTAGCCTCTCGTCCTTCACCATCACGCTCAGCTGCATATACTCATCCATTTCCATAGCGAAAATGTGACTATAAGATACTTTTGGTGTGGAGTATTGTAAATCACATTTATTTGAGGGGAGGGCAGTCTCACTCTCTCACAATAACTAACAAGAAACCACAAACATGTTTTAGGGCCTTTAGCGTGATTGTAAGTGAATAGCAAAAGGAAAAATAATACACAGACAAAAACTGCCAAAGAATAGAAAGATTCGTATTTTGTATTTTTCCGTTTCTTTTGAAACTAGCATACTGAGCAGGTTGGGTTAGTTTCAATCATTTTTTGTTTCTCATTCTTTTGGAGGAAAGTGGCCTGTGGCCAGGTTTTCCTATCACAGCCCATCTGTATCATGTGCTAGGGAGACAAAAGAAAAGATTAAAGATGTTACTGTGTAAAAAGCTTTATATTTTGGGAGGAGTAGAGGAGCTGTGGAAGACAGAAAATTATTTCCAGTTGAAGATTGTACTTAAAAATGATTATCATCTTTTGCTGGTTTCAGTTGTCTGGGGAATTTGAGATGACTGATGCCACAAATTGCTGATCAGATATGTCACAATTAATTTCTAGTTTCCACAATTTTTTATAAAGCTTACTCTAGTTGAACTTTGGGCTGCTTTCCTTTGGAAATACGTTGATAAGTGGCTTGACATAAAGGTGTAACTATGGAAAAACGGAGAATAAATTCTATCACAGTACTAAAAGTGTATGTGCTACAACAATAAAATCCCAGTCGCCTAAGGAAAAGCTTGACCAGTGTGCCAATCTGTCCTTTTCCCAAATGCTCTAGAGTCTTCAAACGCAAATTAACTGTCCAAAGTTATATTAAAAAGATATTATTCAGGTTGCAATGTATTGCAAGGTATTCAAAAGTGAAAATCACTTGTCCATGCAATGCGAATTAAAACCTCGTGTGCATATGACACAGTCACTAATTACACGGTCCAGTATGTTTTGTTTCAGCGGGACCTTTGCCACTTTTAGCAGAGGGAAACAAGGTTACCCACTTAGGGAAGAATTATTGTTTAACGTTTGGCTAAGTACCTATTCAAACCATGAAAACGGAGTTATTACTTTCCTCATGTTTCTTTCTAATATCTGAGGCTGTATAGATCCAAACTTTAGGAGCATTAATTATCTTCCCAAAACCCCGTTCAGGTGCAGGGTGGAATTATCACAAAAGCTTTGAGAGACTGAGGTGAAATATTATATGCCAAATTTTAGGTGCCTAGTTTGAGATAACCAGAGTTTGATTTATCACAATATTTGGCCTTGCATATGCTCAAAATGCAAGTCTTGCTGTCTAGTGACAGATGTGAATCTTCAGCAGTTATACAAATCATTTGGTCACTCCTAAAATGAAGAGTGCAGTACTAGTGACTGCCTGAGAAAAGCTTGGTGTAAATGGCTTGCCTGCTATTACAGGGACGGGGCTAAGCTGTTCTGCAAAATATATAAAATAAAAACATAAGAATGGCCATGCTGGTCAGAAAGGAGGTCCTCCTGACCCTGTGTCTTGTTTTCAGCAGTGGCCAGTGGAGAGGCAGAGGTAACAAATACAAACATCTGTAAGCTTTTGCCCATGGGAAAGAGGGTCCAGGGCTCTTTGCATTATTCACTACACAAAAATGAGTCAGGCATTTTACAGCCTCTTTCTAATTTGTCCCTAGAACAGCTTTATTTTGTTCAGTAGAAGAACTGTTGTTAGGGGGGTCACCTCTCAATTTCAATTCCCAGCAGCTGGGAAGAAGAATAGTTTCATCTCTGCAGTCAGGGCTCATTTTCTGTCGCTCTGTAGAGCCCGGCATGTAGCATCTAGAATATAGGAACTATGAGGAACCAAGTATGCTCATGGAAGATGGAGGCTTCTAAGATGCTAGCGCCAAATGTGTTCCTTTTTGCTAAGTATAGGCAAATTAGATTGTTTTCTGAATCTCACTATTTGAACATTTTTGTTTCTTTGGGAGAGCAAAATCACACTCCTAATATACCAAACTCTCTTTTCGGTCAGATTTTAAGTTTCTTAAATGACCAAGATAATAGTTTTCCTGAAACACTGTTTTTAGATACTTCTCCTGTGTTTTCATTCTCCAGAACTGCGAAAATTAGAGGAAGCTTGTGATGGATATCTGCTACATAGAACAAATCAATCAAAACTATTAAACTGTGGTAAAGGGCCACTGAACATGCGCTTAAAATGGAAAATTTGGGCAAACTTATTAATGCTTGACAGTGTCACCAGATACAGAGCTGTTAGGAACAGAGCTAACTTTGACAGTGAGTGTCTGCCCTTTGAGTTCAGTTGTTTTGTATTTCTCTTTTAGGTTGGAGAATTCTGTGACTCCAGCATTGCCGTATATCCTAAAAATAATACATTTGTCTGATCCTCCATGTAATCATAGCACTTTACTTAAATGGAAAAGTATCACCCATGCCTTGTCCTTTAGAAAACTGAACCACATATGGGCTAGAATGAATCAGTGATTGAGTCACGATTAGAATTTAGATCAGGTTCTCAAGCTGTCGCCCTTTTCCTCCCATAGCTACCTCCTTCAGCAACATGAGTGTGTCAGTGTTTTATGTTCAGATTTATATTCCAAAATGCTTCTCTTGGAATATAGAAGACCATCAGTACTATGTCAGACTGCGGCTTGTGGACGCATATCTAGTTAAAGTTCACTAGTTGGTTTTGACATATAAAGCACTAAGTTATGTAGGTTCTCCTGACCTGAGATACTACATTTTATGGTGCTGCATTACTGGAGATTAACAGGATGTTAAAGAGGACACTAGCTATTTTTTAATAAGCCTTGATGTAGTAGGTCCCGAAACTGGTGATACGAATTCTGTGATATAAGGACTATTTGTTTTGATATTCTGAGACCGTAAAGAGCCTTTCTTGAGAGTTCTTGCTGGGTTAGGTGAATAATCACAAATAAATTATTTCTTATAAGCTTAAATGCTAATACTGGACCTAAACCTGCAAGGAGATGGATTTTGCAGGGCATGGAGAAACTGAAGGCAAATTTCAGCTGTGGAGGAAAGAACTGAAGAGGAACCGTACCAAAACTCACACATTTAAGCATGTATTCATTTTCAGTGTACAATTAGAAACAGAAGTCATTGGAAATACTCAAAAGGTAGTGCTAAACTTATGCTTAAACATTTGATAGTATAGGGCCATTTATACAAGAGCAGAAGTTACAGTAAAATAGGAAAAATAAGATCAGACAAATGAATTGAAGGTGTGAGAGTGTTCCAGAGTGTTCCAGAGTGCAAAACAAGGGAAGAAAGTTATGAACACTAATTAGCAGCAATTTTATGAGAATGCTCATTGTTTAGCCGACTATAGATTTGTTTCTAAGGTTTCATTTTGCTTATGCACTGAAAATTTTTTAGACTATCTACTTTCTACTCAACTAGATACTCCTAATAGGGTTTCTTTTTTTGTTTCCTTAAGCTTATTTAAGTGAGAAAACTTCTCTTATATTTATCTTAATTGCTTTTCAATATAAACAATGGGGACAATTACTATCACTGGCAACATTTCCAATTAAAATATCTCAGATTTATTATCAATTTTCTCTGAAATTCTAGCTATTTCAAAAGTAAATATCCTATTTTTCAAGCCCCCTCCATCTCCATTTTCAGTACTTTAACTGAGCATTTCTAATAATGACTTCAGTATAGATGAAAAATCAATTTATTGAGCCTCAGGAATGCTAAGATGGAAAATTAATCCTTTCTTTCAGGTCTTAGAACGTAATCATTGATTTTTAGTATCATTTAAATAAGGTGGATTCAGTTTTCATGTCAGAACCTCGGATACACTGGTCTTATATCAGTGACTGCAAAGCCCCGTATCCTGACATGTGGAACTCCTGAGAGCTACACCCTGGGAACTGTAGTTAAACAAAAGATAATCTTCTAGTTAAGCTAAAAGAATAGACCGTTTAGATGTCAGTGCCAGAACTTTGGACTTTGCTGGTTAATCATTTGCAGCTTCCTGGAGCTTTAGCTCTTCCTTTAGTTCCATCTCTTGCTCCTCTCTAGCAGCATTGGTACTGTCTGTATTTCCACTACCAGAAGTGCTTGTGTTTTAATTCCTGCTCTGAACTGTGAAAGAGGGATAGCCAAAAGTACTCTCCACAGCTGTGTTGAGCCAGGGTTGGTATGGATCTTAAGAGGCACAACCTTTCTGGCTACATCTACAGGAGGTAAAGACATGGATCATGGACTGTTCTCTGGCAGGGAGTTCAACTGGTGAGTCATAGCTTGTGTGCTTACACCTGATCTCATTGATCTTATCCCAAATCTGAAAGGCTACATCCAAACTGCCTACTAGGAACGGTCCTTGGCTGTGCTAATTCCTGAACCGTTCCAGTGTGGTGTCTGGGAGAGTGCTAGCTAGCACAGCCTGCAGTTAGTAGCATGAACAAATGTCTGCCAGTCCTCTGGTCCTGTTGAGTTTGCTAATGTAGATACTGCCTCTGCGGCTGGGTCTATATTGTGAAATCTGGGCTTCAAGTAGTGCTGCCCTTGCGGTGCTCAGGAGGGCAACGTACCCTGTCCCTGTTGTGCGACTCATGCAAAGATGGAGCAGTGAAGCTCAGCACCCTTACACACGTAGATCCTGTAGCGGCCTCTGTTTTTCGTCATGGATGCTTAAAACTTCATATCGTCATAACAGATGATTGATGTCTAAATAGTGTGAGCATGCACAGCTCCACAGGCTTTACCTGAACAGGCAGTGCAGCTAAACCTAGTTAACCTAGTTTTAGTTAACCCTAGAAAATAAAGCCCTGAAATTCCTAATTTTAGTTGCTTGAGTTTTAAACACTTTAGCCACTGTGCCTGGCTGTAAATGAATTCCTAAAACTGAAGGTTCTTCTGAAGATCTCCTTTAAAGGCCTGTATTTCATACCAAGCTGATAATAATGTAACTCCATGGATCTTAGAATAGAACTTTGTTCATCTGTCTTATTGAGTGTAGGCTGCTGGCTGGAGGGGAATGCTTTTTGGTGTTGGGTAACCATTCAGCATAATGGCTTTTATGAATTTCACTGGTATGTACTGTAATAACATTAATCATGATGAACTCATTTGGCACTAATAGGAATGTCATATGTACTTGTACAAGAATATTCACTGTAGTTCATCATTAATTAACTGGGCTATTATTTTAAAGTGTTACCAGACATGGTATGTAAAAACGGTTTACTTTGCAATCTCCTAGTGTTGAAATCATGTAGGCGCTTTTGCTATGGTTTATGTCAGAGAAAATCACAACAGAAAGAGCAAAGAATCCAAGACTAAGATAATACATTTCAGCTGTATAACCTTTGGCAATATAAGAATTAAAGACTTGCCGTATAGGCAAAGTCCTATGAATGTCGTGGGCTATCTAGTCTAGTATCCTGTTTCTCAAAATGCCCTATGCCAGATATTTTGGATGTAAAAGTGAAAGAATGCAAACAGAATTATATTCTGAAAAACAGAATTTTGGTATATCCCACTATTAATCTTTTGCCGTAAGTCTGAGATTCACATAGTAGTCTTCTGTAAGGGTCACTGTCGTTATTTGACTATCCAAATAAAGAATATCGGCTGCTTCTTCTTTATCCATTAATTTGCTGTCATACTTACAGAATTATAGAGAAACCACTTCTGATTTGGGAAGAGAGGAAAGTAAGAAACAGGCCTGGAAGAAATTCCTGGCTGCCTATGTCTTGTCCCCTGATATTCCAGCCAGCCTTTCGTAAGAGGGTCAAGCTTCATTCTGAAATTAGCCAGGTTTCCTGCTACTGTTGCAGAACCCACTCTAGTTACAAACCTTCTTTTATATGCCAAATGTAATGTATTTGTGGTTAATTATTTCTTGTGCTAAGCTTGACTTTCAGGCTAAATAGTACTTCTTCCTCTCAAAGTTTATTCTTCTGATGTATTTATGGAGCAGGCTACTCTCAGTCTTTATTTGCTAGACTAAACAAGCCAAGTCATTTAATTTCCTTTCATAAGACAGGTTCTTCTTTTCCTCTTAACATCCTAATGCCTCCTCTTTCATCTTTTCTCCAGTCACATGTCATCTGTCAAGATTTAAAACTGTGTTTCTGGGTCAGTGGAACTGTAGACAGTACAATAAACGTTGTTTTGATGCTGCTTCTGACAACAGTGTTTATATCTCTCTCTCTTTGCTTGAAAGACCTCTCCTTCCACATCCTAGGCCTTAATATTGTGATTTAGCATTTCACCCAGATCTTCTTCATCTTAAGTCATTTCTGAGCGTAGAACCATGATTCTACAGCTTGAATCAAGACATCTTGTTATATATATCTGTAATAGCGATATTCATATTGACTTAAGTTATTTTATACCCATAACTTGGGGACTATAATGCTTTTACACAAAGAACAAAGAGAAGCTGCAGCATCCCAAGATGATTCAGAATCTCAGCTTTGACAGCTAACCTCTGAAGAGGCATGCCTCTGCTCATGTGTGACTTACTTAAACTTACTATGAACTTTCATCCTTTATCTGCAAGTCCTCAGAATCATCTAATAGGAAAATTTGTTTTGGTGAAATCCCCAGTTCAGTCACTTGCAATTTTCAGACAGCTTTCAGGTAATTAATGACTATTGAAAATAAAATAGGTCTCAAGACTTATCCTCAAGGACGCTTAGCGAAAGCATAAATTGGTTGACAACTCTCTCTTTTGTACAATTTGCTATAATCTTCTCTTCAGCTAAACATGTATCCACCTAAAAATTACTGTAATAATCTCTATTACCTCAGCTGTAAATAATAATTTCCAAAGCTATGCTTTTTGTGAAATTCAAACAGATTAGCTCTCGAGATTTCCTTTGTCTAAAAATTATTAATTTGATTATCAGAAAGAGAGATGAGTTTTTTCTATATTTCAAATACATCCATACGAATTTTATTCTCTCTTTCAGCTTCTGTTCCATTTATTCTTTTCTTCATAACTCATCCTTCTTACGATGCAGTTTTCAGAGAGGTACCAAATTGTATGAGAAATCTAACATAATCCATTTATTTGGCAGTTTGATAGTTCTACTTTTATTATAGCTTTAATCAGTTACTTTGGTGCTGAAATATCCCTCATTGGTCTTTGTAATTTCCAGGAACACATTTGCACAATAGCTTTGCATTAAGTACCAAAGCATTGAAGAGCTATATGTTGTGAAATGAAAATTCCTCCACTTATTTTATTTCCTTTTTCACAGGCCTAATTGTAGAGAGAGAATAAATGGGTTTAACCTGCCCTTTATTGGAAGTGGTAAATTAAAATGAGACATATATATGGAGCATTCCTTTGAAATGGTCATTTTTCTACTCAGATATGTTTTCTGAAATAAAAAGAGAAATAGAGCTCATTTTTTCCATTCCATTCCATTTCATTCATTTCATTGAGTGCTGGTTCTAATGAATCAACAGACTTAAGCTAAATGTAAAGATAAAATTGCTTGGTTGGATATATGCACTGAGTAAAAAGATTATTTATCCCTCTGAAGCAGGTGGTCTTGATATAAACAAAATTCAACAAATGAATATTCTGGTAAATGAAGTGAAGCAAGGCACTTGAACATCCAATGAATGAAAATTCAAGATGAAGGTGCTTTATGGTATGCTCTAAAGTTTGCACTGTATCAGTTTAAGGGAAGGATGAATACTAAATAAGGATTATGTATCCACTGATGACGCCTCAGATCTTCTCTGTTTATATCGCTAGAGCTTTGACCCAAGTACATCTGCCAGCTTTGACCAGAGTTTTATGGCAGAGAGAGAAAAGGATGGCTCCTTAAAAAAACACCACAGTTATGTCATGCTGCAGACAAGAAGAAAGACCTTGGCTGTTGTGAGCTGTGTAAGATCTCTTGCATCCTTAGGGCATGTCAGATCTGAGTACATGAATATTAGGTAGCCGAGCTGGGCTACCACATTCTCTTTGGGGACAAGATAATGAATGCATCACCCAAAAAAAGTGCAGTCATTCCATCTAAGCATTCAAAATGTACAGTTAGCCCAAAGATGAACATGCTTCTGAAATCAAACGAGATTACAAGCTAAAAGTGCTGTCCCAAAGACAATATAATATACTGAGGTAAAGATATGATGGTGGAGATTCACAATTTGTGACTTGTAAAGTGGTTTCAGAGTTGTATGTTTTCATAGTAACAAAAGCAGTAAGACATTGCTTATGCTGGTTTTTATCATTTGTTAGCATTATACTAAGTCAATCCTGTAAAACTGCATGATACTCATTAGTCTACAAGCAGCACTTGATTTTGAAATATCAAATTGGCGTAAATTATGAGAGACATTTAAAGAATAACTGCTTTAACTGTGATGTTGGAAATATTTAGGCTAAGTTTAATCTATAGTCAGTGTTTTCTAAAGGAATCTATAGGGATCATTCCCTAATGTAACACTTTGGAAGAGATGGTCCTATAATATCTTTTAAGGGAAAGAAATAATAAAGATGTGGGTACATTATAGGAAAGAGTGCATGTACATGGGTGGAAAAGATGTCATTAGCTATTGTAGTTTCCAGCATTAAGAAGGTCTGAACCTGATTTGAGATAAACACAACTCACCGTGATGACTTATCAAGAAGCAGTCTTTTTGTTCTTGTGTGTTTTCTTTTCCATTTCTATATTGCATCATCTATATTGCATCATTAATTCTTTCATTCTTCTTTTCTCTGGAAAGGAAAATAACATCTCTACTTCCGGAGTGGTTCAGCTTCCCAGTCGTACAAGAAAGTTACTAGACCTGGAGAATCAAGGGAAAGGGAAGCTCTTGAGGAGTGTTTCATAGGCAGGGACTAACAGTGATTGCGCTCAGGTTCCAACACTTTGTTGCAGGATACCGGTTAGACCCTGCTGCTGCTACTAGCTTACTTCCCATCAAAGGTTTCAGTATGCATCAGCTTCTGTGCCTGTTTAGCACTGCTGCTAGTTATGTGATATAACTCTGCCATGGGAACTACCCAAAACTGTATGTAGTTCTAGAGTAATTGGCTGGCCACCCAAGCGCTAATCGTAAGGATGGAATGACCTCTTTTTAGCATATCCATTTTAATGTAAATTTATCTTTACATCTTGTGAAAATGTGGATGCAGGTCTAGATAAATGAAATACTAGGCACTACTACACCATAGTTGATAAATAACAGTCACAATTACCTGTCAATAAAATAACTCAGTTGAATCAAAAACAAAGGTACGTTTGTGCAAATATCAC